TACTGCCAGTAAAAAGCTGGTGGTAAAACCATATCTGGAAGCTTAATAGATAAGGTTATCATTGCCATGTTATAAAAGAATACAGCCCTTTTCAGATATAATAAGCCAGAGGGACAGGGCATATCCTGAACTGTTTCCAATGAACTGTGAGTTCTTGAGACTCGCCCAGTAGAAAAATATATAACAACTGATGCAGAATCTGATGCTACAGTATGAATAGTGACATTTTCTGAAGGCATTTGTCTTGTATAGTAATACAGCTTTTCACTCAAGTGTGGTAAAGTGTCTCAGGACAATGGGTACCTGCATTACATTAGCAATATTTTAAAAAGTCTCCTTTTTAGATGGGTATTATACTCTCTATTTCCCAACTGTCACTGACCTTCACCAGTCTCCCATTGCCCAAGGAGAACAATCATATGACCTCACTGTCACTTATTACTTTCTGTCAGTCCAAGTATATTATCTTTCAGGAGGGGCCTCCATTCTTCATTGGTAACAAGTTATGAAATAAGTCATATGGTCAGTGATGTAGCTCCAGCAGAAAAATGTCATTTGAATTTATTATCAGGCATTTGTGTTTTGCCATAAATGCCTGTGGGAGCTGAGTCAAAGCGGGACGGCCTCCCCTAACATATCCTTCACTTCTGCTTTCTAGCGTGGGGAGCCTTGTTTCTCCCTTTGTGTGTTGTTTCACTGATGCAATGACTTCACTCGCCTTGGGCACCACATCTCACACACACACACACACACACAGCCTTGAAGCCTGAGGTGAGCGACACAAAGAGGCAGTGTTGGCGGAATGAGTGTACTCTCTTGGTGATTGAACAGAAAAAGGCACATTTTCCTTTGGATCTGAACTGCATGTCAACAATAGAGTGAACACTTAAAGCACTTTTACACCGAGTCACATTTGTATCTGCAGGGCCATTCTGTGCCCTTAATGTCTGCTAACAACTGGGTAGAAATGGCTGTCTCAGGATTTCTTTCTTTTCCCTATGATCTCAGTGTTATTTTAGGAGAAGTGTTGCCATCTTCTGTGAACATATGGCACAGTAATTTAAAAGTGACCAACCTGCTTTCTCTAGAACTTCTAACTAACCAAAGAGGAATCTTGACTCATTAAAGGCCAATTTTGGCTTTGGTTAGTCAATATTTAAATAAGACTGGCCCATCGTCATACTGGTCTGCTGCCTACTAGACTATTTATCTTGGAACATTTTAGCTTGCTTTCTCATTAATGTGCCTTTCTAGCCACAGTTAAAAGTGATAGAACTCAGATGCTCAGACCACAAATGTGCTGCAGACTGACAGTTATGGTATGACATTTTGTACAGACATGCTAATAGTTTAAACTAAGTAGGGCTACAGCTAACATTATTTTCTTTATCCACAACCTTATGATTTGGAGGGGAATTGATTGTTCAATCAACAAAACACCAAGAATTTGTCAAATTGTATGACAAGCTACAGTTATTTGGACGTTGGTCCCTCTACTCCTCCCATCCTCACCTCTCAAGTCTCACTTTTTTCTGGCTTTGTGCGTTCGCCACAGCCAAGCTTAAGCTGAAGGGACACTGAGCTGTATGTAAATCAATTTGGATTGCAGCTGTATGCGGAAACAGAATTAGACTCGTCAACTACACCTGCTTAGTTCCTCCTCTCTTCTTCATCTCTGTCTTCTTCTGTAGTAGTCGGTGCTTCTTTGAGTTGGGCATACAGTACCATAAGTAGCAGCAGGCTTTGGGTTAAGCCTGGGGGGGAAAGATAGGATTAAAAGGAATCAGTGAAGTTGGTGCTCTTCAAAGGAAGCAGAGAAACTGCAAGAGGAGCCACATTTCTCTCAAATGGTTTCATGCTCAAGGGGCTTTGTGTAATGGCAAGATATTAGTGTACATGAGGCATAGAGTCCCATATACATGTGTACAGTAAATGAGGCTCAGCACTTTAATTGTGCACAAACATTTTGTCCTCTCTGGATACCGGAGAAAGGATATACGGTATGTCAGCAAGCCACTAATGTCAAGAGATTTAAAGGGAATAGGCGCATACGTTGAACTGAACATCTGAGACATCAGGGATCAAAAGTTGAAAGGTTATATCAGCTACTGCAACAACACGACGAGCGCTCTTGGAAAGGATGTGTAGGTGTCTTTTGATTTGGATCGACTTGAAAGCCTTTTCCAAATAGTAACTCACTGCTTATGTTCAAACACTATAAGAGGGGACAAACATATTAGCTTCTAAAAGAAAGTGGAAAACTATTTATCTGTCTTTTAGAAAGGGTAATTTATGCAATAAATAGTCAATTAAATTAATACTGAAGAGCAGTTTGTAAGCTGCTGAATCAAAGAGATGGGAGATTGTTTTTTAAGATGAAACCACCTTTTCTGCCTCCCCTAAGGTGCTATTAAATAGTCCCTCATTCATCACAATTAACCTGGGCAACTATTAGTGAATCGTTAATTAGATGTTAGACTGTGTCTAATGGGTTGCAACACACATTTAAGAGCGTAGAATCAGTAGTTACTCACTTAAATAATTATAGGGGATTTATATAACATTGTTGAAAAAGGACAATGTAAAGTTTTTCTTTCAGAAAAGTTTATAATAAAAAAATCTAGTTCTTAATACTGCACTATCAGCACACTTCATTAAACATGCTACAACTTATTCTACAGTTTGAATTTTAGAATAAATTGATAGTTTGAAGCTGAGACCATAATCTTCCTCTTAGGGAGTGAAAACACATTAAAGAAGACACTTTGCACATTCATCAGAAGCTCTGCGCATTCTGTTCCATTCATAAATTTCACCATCTCTTATAACATAGTGGAGGAAAATTGAAAGCAGCATTCCTCACTAAATTTCTGGTGAGAACTGTGGTGATTTTCAGATAAATTCTCACCAAACGGTCTTGATTTAAATTGCATTTGATTGACTGTGTGTTCCACTTGATTAAAATAGGAATGGAGCTGAGTAGTTGTTGCTAAGAAAAGAGATACAATCGCATGGAAGCATTTTGTTACTCGGAGAGAAACTGCACCCTTGCTTTCTTCCATTACTGTGGCTTAGTAGAAAAGCATGACCAATACATCTCAGGTGAAGTGAAGATAAAGTTCTCTGTCTGTGTTCATTGAAAATGTCAAATTAAAATCTATTATGAATACAGAAAGCGTGCGATTTGACTGAAAGTAAAAAATAAAAATAAAAAGTAAAACCCAGTTCTGTTTTTAAAGGGGCATAGTCAATCTGCCAGTCTGTACCCAGCATCTGATTATCAGCAGGGTCTGATGTTTTAGCACAAAGCTAAAACATTACCAGCAAGGAAGGGTGAAACACGCCGTAAACATTCATGGCCTCATAAACTCGATCTGCTCTTGCCAAGGAGTTGATTACAGGCAGAATCCATCATGTAAAACCCACAGCTTTAATACAGTATCCTAGTACCAGGGGCCATGCTGCCATAAGCTGGCTTTCCCAAACATGCCCTCAGAATACAGCACGGGAACATTTACTTGGAATTACCACTCACATGACACAAATCCTGTTGTCACTGAAAACACATCGTTTATTTTATTGCATTTTAAAATTGCCTTCCTTTCAACCAAAAACATAGCGCAGTGTTGTTTTATTGGGAAATGGCTGTTTATCAGTGTCACTTTTTAAACACTGCTTTTGCAAATGAAGTTATAAACATGGATATTATGAGATTTCCCATTAAGCATATTGTACTCTACCCTCTGATGTGTCATCCAGTTTTAATGAGACATCCTGGGCTCTTTAAAGTGATTTCTGGCTTATCAGATTTGGTTTAGAGCTTGCTAATGGTATGATAAGGCACATTAAAGTGATAAGTATTTAATGATGTTAAACATGGTCAAGCCTCAGCTACAGAAGATTGATCGTTTTAAACAGGTCAGAAAAATGAATTTTAAATGCCCAGATAAGATATTATGTGGTCCTAAAGTGTATGGGGGAGGGGCGTAGGGGCAACTACATTATTGACTTAATCCACTCATCTAATTTTGGTTTTTGGGTACATGTAAGCTGTGTGGGATGGCAGGCACAGCATTGTGGGATATCAACGATTCCCACTGTGATTTGGACAAACACTGCGTTCCAGTTTTTGAGTCCTCTCCATCTCCTCTTCTGTTTATATATGAATCTCAAATTTTTGCTAAAGTTTTGCAAAAGTCAGGCAATGTGTGTGATATTTTTGTGAAACTTTTGTTTCAGACATGGAAGTTGTGCACTTAGCCTGTCTACTTAAGGTGACTGTTTTGCTTGTATGCGACACCCATGGTTGTTGTTATATTTTGGACATGACTCTTAAATCATATCACATGCAGAGATGTAGACGTATTTGTCACTTTTCTGCATTCTCACTTGCATTCTCACCGTTTTCTTCTCACGTTTTTTTCTCTCTCGCACTCTCTCTCCTGATCTCTCTTTCTCTCTCTCACACACACACACACACACACACACACACACACACACACACCCTGACATCATCCTGCCTGATGTCACTGTGATTATGCAGCTGCAAAAGATGGGTGTTCCTACTGCTCTGCCAGTGCTCAGGGTGAGGCTCACTGAGTCCATCTGCTCATGGCCTGGGGAGGAAAATGCACATACAAACTGACACAGTTTAAAATATGCCCACAGATTCACACCTATACACATGCAAAAAATAATTACCTCAATAGGTATTCTACTCGGTTGTGCTGAATGCCAGGGGATTTCAGGACACGGGCAAATCACCTTAAACATTCACAGAAAATCAAGACTCTCCTACCCTCAGAATGCTAAACAGTTTGACTGCGTTATCACCCGAATCCTTACAAGTAGTACTGAATCTACTTAAAAAGTCAAGAAAAGGTTTTCCTACTAATCTTAAGGCACAGCTTTTTAAAAAATATGAACTCGGATTCACATCACTGAAAAGATACCTGAATATTTGATGTCTCTTTCCTTTTTGTTGTTGTTGTTGTTCGTAGGGGTCTTTTTGCAAGTCATTACACAGAGACTCATTACCGGGAGGATGGAAGTGCAGTCATCGGTGCTCACAACTTCACGGTACGGTGGCACTCAAGTGCTTTTGACATTTATGGTCAAGGTGATTTGCAGTGATGCTCTACAGTGGTGCTGTAAAAACTGACCCTGACCTGTTTTATTTTTCATATAGAGGATCAGTATTATATATGATTATCTACACTGTATGTTGTGCATTAGTTAAAAATCAAATATAGGATTTGAAATTAATTTTTAATTATTTAGATTATTTAATGACTACAGTGTGACCCAGTGTTTATATGAAAGCCCCCGGCTGTTGCTGAGCAGGACATCCATCGTGTGGCCTACTTCATGATAAGCTGTGTTTCATGCTGGTTGTGTTTCCAGCAACATCTCAATCAGGATTTTATTATGGAATCCCCTTTTAACTGCTGATCTGTTCATAATTGCATGCTTGATTCCATGTGTACACAAGCTGTGGAAAGCAAAGGGCCTGCCACTATTTTAAAAATAGAGCAAGGCTTGATGTTTATTTTGAATTTCTGGCACTTATCAAGGCCACTCATTATGGTATTTAAATAGCTGAAATCAGTTTATGTGGCTTGTAAATGAAAATCTGGACACAACTGATTTTGCATGGTATGATGAAGGTATTTTTAGTTCAAGGTCAAGTTTGAAAGAAGATTTCGCTGGAAAACAACAGGCAGTCAATTTTAGCAGCCGTTGTAGAGGAAAGATAACATTTCCTTGAATGTAGTAGCCATTTATCCACATGAAAAATCAAAGTTTTACCAAACTTTCAGTCAAAAGGCTATTGATCCACCATTGGGATAATGATGTGCATAGGCAAAAGAAGGCCGTAGTCCATGTATTGTGTCTCTTAAGGCTTATTCATTCATTACAAGCAGGCAAACAAATGAACAAAGAAATCCTGCCTCGTGTGCACTGGTAAAAAAAACCCATAAACCCTTCCCAGTGTATGCCTTATCTATGCCTGCCTATTTGGTACCAGTTATCTCCAAAATATCCCCCAAGATAGATTAAACTACTAATAAAGAGCAAAAAACTAAGGAAATAACAAAATGCTAAATAAATCTAATCTAAACAAATACATAAAGTAATGAAATAATACCTGTCAGTAACATAACAATCTAACAAATACCTCTTACAGTAGTGTTGAAGAAACCTGCCATTAGTGACGTCAAGCATTCTGTCTCGTTCATCTCTTGCCCTTTTGTGGCAAAGTTGGTTTGAAGTCACTGTATAATTGAACGCAGGTGAGGACATTTTGACAGGTCACTCACAGCTTGGAGGAGAATTGTTTGATAATTCAGCAGTGACTGACAGAGCTATTTTCCTACAAAGTTGTGCAAACAGTGCTTTCCTCACACTCCCTCTTTCACCTTTAATTTTGAGTGGGAGGCTGTTGAGCATTGCATCAGGCTGTCAAACAGGCATACTTTATTGTCCTTGATAAGTCGCATGCAGCTGTGCGCTTTCAGGCACAGAACTCAGCAGGCAGCTGTGTGAAAATTAGGGATCAGCAGAAAAACTTATTGTATATAAACTTTCTATGAATTACCTGATGAGACAGAAGAATCTGAGAAAATGTTTTTTTTTTTATTTCCTCTAACACGCATATCAAAAGCTATAAAAGAACCATAAGCAGGAACTGAAAATTGAGAGATAATTAAACATGTGGTGAAATAATTTGTTTTCCTCCCAAACTTAAAGATATAAAACAGAAACACTGGATGCTAACAGGTTGTCTAAGATGTTTTCCATCGCTATTCTGATTTCTCTAGCTTCAGAAAATTACTAAAAACGAGTTTACAGTAAGCTATTTCACTTGGAATGCATTTAGCTAGTGTAAAAGTTAGACTTAACTAAGAAAGATAATTACTTTTACTCCCTTATGTTTTGTTTTATGAAAGATGAAATAATCTAGGTCAAGCATAGCCTAAGCACAGAGCCTTTGTAGCTGCTCTTTTTTTTTATATATTTAATGTAATGAATCTTGAGTCCATTACCACCTGGCTCAGTAACTTGCACTGTACTTGCCAAGCAAATGCAGCTGGAAATGATGAAGTATTTCCTCCCACAGTTCAATAATGGGAATGAGAAATGATCAGCACAGTGACTAAAGACAGTTGATTTAAGAGGACTGGAGCTCTGCAAGACAGTAAATTGGAGGTCTGCGTTCCTTCTTAACAAGAGTTGCTTCATCTGCCCTAATTGTGTCCAGACAACAGTGTTTTCACTCTGTGTGATGAGCCTTAAATGTCCCCTTTCCCTTCTACTAGACTGGTAGAATAATGAAGGAAAAACAATTTCCATATTACTGTAACCTCCAATCCGTGTCAGTTTATCTGCTTCTCCCTTAAACTGTGTAGGTTGCATTAATTTCAAAAGTCCTGTTTGTATGGAGAGGGAGAGGATGATATACAGAATTACAGAGCATGCTAATTAAATGAATATACAGTAACTTTGAACAACATCGGCATATTTCCAGTGCTTCATGTCCTCTTGCGCTCTTTTGATGTCAGGTAAGAGCTACTGCTGCAGAAAATATAACAAGCAGCTTTGGGTTTGGCAAATTTTTAATCACATTATCCATTGAGTTGGAAGCCTTCTTTGCATAAATGTTGTCATCTCAAGTATGTTGAGGCTTTTTATGTACAATTTCTTCTAGAATAACTGCTATTACCATGGGGAAGTGCAGGCACATCCAAACTCCGATGTCACCCTCAGCGCCTGCTCAGGGCTTCGGTAAGATGCATGACCATCATTTTGTATTCGAGCAGCATCTCAACGCTGCCCTTAAAGTGCTATTTACCACTGCAGTGTTTATATTTACTGGAGTCACTGCACAGCAGCCCATTGCTGTTAAACCTCTTAAGTCAGTAAGTTCATGTGTGAGGAATAGGAGAAAATGTCACGGCTCATTGTTTTTGTTCACAGTGGCACCCGGTAAGTATCTGCAGTCGTTCTGGCGGTAATTGGCATCTTACTGTTTCTAATGACCAGCAACAATTGGCAGATTTGCAAACTGGCCATCAGCCAAGTCTTAAGACATACAGCATCATCTCCTGCTTAATTAAACATCAAGGAAACATTTTTGGAAACAGAAAATGTTTAGTTTGCAATGACGACCTTTTATGAAGATGATAACAGCTAATGGCAAAGAACATTAACGTTATTAACAATTTGTGGACTAAATATTCTTGATCTTAAAGAGGAGATGTCGTCATTTCAGTGAAAAATTACGCAGCCTGCTGTGTAATAATACTGAACTCATTTGTGCATAAAGCCATGAGGATTTCAACCCTAACATGGCTGGTGATTAGAAGCTCTGTGTGGCTTGGCCCTGTTGGCCAGATAATAACAAAATGTTAGTTTCACTTGGCTCCTGTAACAGTGGGCTGAGCGCTGCCTCAGCTGTCACACATTTCATTAAAGTGAGTTACATTCAGTCGTTTTCATTTGAGAGATTGGCTGTGTTTTGAAGCTTTGTTTTCAAACTTGTGCTGCTGTCTCTGCAGAGGTTTCATCGTGCTTGAAAACAAGACGTTCATCATTGAGCCGGTGTCTGGCCATGACACCGGTGCCCACTTCATCTACAGAGTGGAAGAACTCAGACTGACTCCAGGAGCCTGTGGCCACGGTTTCAACATGTCCTCTGTTGCTCCTGAAGACCACATTAAAAGCCCCTTCCATTCCTTCCACTCAAGGGTGAGATATTTTTTGTTTTCATTACAAAGCTTGTATTAGAGCCTTTAGGCATCATAGGTCAGACCTATATTGTCATCAGTATTAGCATTTTTGTGGTATTTGATTGTCAGATGTTTCCGAAGCATTAGACTAATATTAGACTACGGGTTAGACTAATATTTACTTGATGAAAGATAAATGGGCATTTGACCAAAGATCAGCAAATTGGCAAGCAATCCAATTTGGATAAGTTCTCTGAGGGCGTTGTTTTGGACTTGACACTGAAGATTTGGCTGATGATTTGCATGGAGCAGGTGCAGCATCCATCTGCCCCTATTCCCAGGCATTAAAAACTCCATTTGAGTTAGGAAGTTATTTTTACCAACATAGAGCACTTACTGACCCCTGAGTATTACCTGGGCTTTGAGATTTTATAAGGGCATCAGTTCTCCCTTAACAGACGGGACACTCAGGCAAAAAAAGAATCGCAGAATATGTTTGTATTTGACCGCTAAAGCGTTTGTTTGTGTGAAGTCCTGGATTTTCCATAGAATACTCACCGTGAAGTTAAATAAAAATACGGGTGGTTTAGTTGCAGCTTTCCCTTAAAGAAATATCTTGACCTTTTGGGAAACCTGTCAGAGTTAGATGAGACAGTGGGTGACTCTCTCTTGTACCTGTGTAAGCTTGTATAGCTTAATATTCACAGTACTAAACAGTGAAAACAGGGGCCTGGCTCTGTTCAAAGTTAACAAAATTCACCCAGCAGAACCTCCTGAAGCTCACAAATTAACATATTAAATCTACAATGTTTAATCAAAACAAAAACACAAGCATAAAATCAACAAGCTGTGGTTTTGTGGGATGTTATGTGACTGCTGAATGTCATTGCACCATGAGCCAAGAATATATGCATATAATAACATAATGTGTTACTTTGTGAGCTTGGTGAGCACATTTATGTTTGCTCTATACATGGCTGGCCTAGTTGTTTCCCCTGCTTTTGGTCTTTGTATTAAGCTAAGCTAACTGGCAGCCAGCTATAGCTTCATATTTACTGTGCAGACGTAGGAATGGTATTGAGAGTCTCATATAATCCTTGGCAAAAAAGAGATTCAGCATATTTCCCAAACTATTCCTTTATGATTTTTGACATCTTGCAGACTTGAAAAGGTTCATCTTAGGTTTTTCATGTAGGCCCACAGGAAGCGATAGTATCTCAATTGTGTGTTTATGTTATTTGCTGCTGCTTAAAGTAGCCAGATCTTTAGAAAGATGTGAATAACATTCAGCAAATAACATCACATTTCTAACATGATGCATCTCTATTTTTGCCTCAGCATAAAAGGCATGCTCAGAAGACCACCAAATACGTTGAGCTGATCATAGTGGCAGACAACAGAGAGGTAACACAGCAACCTTTCTTCCATTCACAAATGCTGTGCTTCAGCAACAGAAACCACAACACTGACGTTTCAGAAACTCTTCTTGGTTTAAGCATTAAAAACAGGGTGTGCTGTAGTAACAGTAGAGCAGGTCCCTCTGGAGCTGCAGAACTAGGTCAGTGTGCAACAAGCAGTGTGGTCTGGTGGCTGTGGCTCCGTTTTGACAGGAAGTGCTGAACAGTTTCCCAGCGGAGCGAGCAGGAAAACGGAAAAAGCCACGTGGATACAGAGGAGTTTCCCATAAGCGCCGACAAACTTATTGTGGGTCTTTCTCCTGACAAACCCTCAGATTAATGCTTCTTATCAGGATGTAAGAAAGGAAATTGGAGGGGGGAGAATAAGGGATCACGGTTGTTGTCTGGCTCAGATTTTAGATGTCCAGTGCCAACGCAGGTGGATACACAATAGGGTGACAATACAAAGTCTGAGTTTGCTGCAGTTTGGATCCAAAGCTTTGCAGGCTGTTGTATCTGCCAATATACCTGCTCCCTGCTGTCATGCCATTCGTCACTGTGACATTTGGAGATTTTTCTAGATCCAGATGGTCACAGCTTGACAGCCTACCTAATACACAATAAAATGCATTGCCTGTTAATATTTTAAGCATCCTATTATTCAAAATATTGCATTTGCAGGCACCCTGTGTCTTTTTTCATTTTAGTTGTGACTACAGTAGCATTTATGTCTTTGTAAGAAAAGCTATTTGTAGTAAATTTAGAGTAAATGTTCCCATTTCTTCCATTGATTACATGTAATGTTTTCAGTTTCAGAAACATGGGAAGGACTTGGAGAAGGTGAAACAGAGACTGGCAGAGATAGCCAATTATGTGGACAAGGTAGAACATCCTCTCCCCTTTGCACATAAATCACTTTTTAAAATAGAAATATTGCTGGCAGCAGAGATTAATGGGATGACTGTGTGATGTATTAATGTCCTAAAACAACAGCTGCTTTTAGTCTGTTTGTAACCTTTGCCAGAGCAGATTTACTTAAGGGAAGCATGGATAGAGACATGGAAAAGACGTGCTCTAATTATGTAAAAACATGAAAAGAAATGTTCTCACTGATGCACACACAGAGAAAGCATTCAGGGCTGCTATAGAGAAATGTAATAAAGTAAAGTTAAACTAGTGTTTCACACCTGTATAATTGTCTTTTGATCATTCATGGAATCTAAGCAGTTTAAATCTCCTGGTCCTTCTTTCCATACGAGTCTGTTTATCAACATGCTGCCCTTCAGTTCTACAGAGCCCTGAACATCCGAGTGGCCTTGGTGGGTCTGGAGGTGTGGAGTGACTCAGATAAATGTCCCATCACCCAGGATCCTTTCAACACACTGCACGAGTTCCTAGATTGGAGGAAAGTCAAACTGCTGCCCCAGAAACCTCACGACAATGCTCAACTCATAAGGTGGAAATTTAAGTTCACTGAAGAAACTGAGCCTAGAAATCAATGAACAAATATTCACATTGGTACACACAACCAGACTCTTAAACAGCAGCAGCAGCAGTAGTAGTAGTAGTAGTAGTAGTTTTGTCCACTGGAGCCCATGTCCATTCATTTGATTTGATTTATTCTTTCAAGCATGTAAAAACAGTTGATATGACAACACACATACACATAATCCAATATCAAT